TTGAATCAACAATTATAAAATATAAATAGGTGTAATAAAGTAAGAAATTTATTATTAGAAAAAAATGTGATAGCGATTTATGTGAAAATATATATCAGATATCGCAGTATGTATCTATACTACAGTAAATATATGACTCTACATCGACGCCAATTCAATTCGGTGAGCATCGTGATCGTTAGAGTATTATGTATGCAATTATGTCACTGATTAATTCAATCAGCAAAGTGAGTAATTTCAATCAGCGCCAAGCGACGAAACCCAAGGTGAATAGCGCCTGTGTATGAGGAATTTGTAATAATAGTTTAGTAATATTATATAATTAATTGCACGTTAATATTTTATTAATTTAACTTGCAGGAAACTTCTCATACCTCACTGCTACAATCAGTCTACAACGACAGAAAGAGTTGTTCATTATGTCAAGCTACCTTCCGAGCTTATTGATTGTCGTGTTGTCATGGTTTTCATTTTGGATCAACCCGAACTCCGAACCAGCCCGTGTATCACTCGTAATGACTGCATTATTAACGCTGTGTACACAGATGAATGGTATCCAGGCAACAGTGCCTAGAGTGGCGCATCTGAATGTAAGGTTCCTCAAAGTGAGATACCGTACGAAGGTCGATATGACCTGTCCAACTGTTTGGTATTGAAACAGTGGTGGCCTCGGTGGCCTCGGTGGCCGAGGGGAAGACGTGTAGTGGCGTGAAGCTAGGCGATTAGGTGCCGTACGCGAGCGCCGGTTCGAGTCACGCACGCAGTACGTATTTACTGTAATTAGACATAGTCTTTACCTTGCCGTTTATTCGGTGTTATTTGCTTACTTTACTTCCTATGTCGACAGCAACTATGAGTTTAAAATTAGTTCTCAGTACTTATTCACAGTTACAATGCTGTACCATTACTTTCACCATCCTACTACAGCCAGATCTGAAGGCCTTTACCGCATTCTGGCCATGCTGTGTGGCGCGTATCGCGTGGACGGGTATCATGTTCTCTGCACGTAATAAGCTCGGTTATTAAGCATCCTTTTTTTGGGGGGGGTGGCCGAGGGGAAAACGTGTAGTGGCGTGAAGCTAGGCGATTAGGTGCCGTACGCGAGCGCCGGTTCGAGTCACGCACGCAGCCGTTTATTCGGTGTTATTTGCTTACGTATTGAAATATTGACAGATAAAACATACTATAATACAATGACTATAGTGCACATCACTCGTGATTAGTAACATTCACTAGCTGGGCGGTCGTCAAATTCACAAATATTCACGTTAAACTGTATAATTTTATGTTTGAACTGCACATGGAGAGCGAAGGCACATTGTTACAGCAATATTATAATTTCAGACCAAATATCAAGAATTAACTCATTGGCTGGCCGACTGAACAATATCTAGCGCTAGAGCGTCAAATAAAATTCCTGTGAACATAAGACGTATTATTATACATCTGTCAAGCTACCTTCCGAGCTGACGTATTATTATACATCGCCATAAGTAACAGCGTGCCGTAATTTTGCCTTATTTTACGGGGTATTTTCATCCTAGCATATTAGGAAATGCTAGGAATTCCAAATATGAAATGATTACGCGCGTAAGCGTCCTCTAATAACAAAGAAAAAGCATGGCTGTCACCAGTGTTTGCTAATTCTGTTCTAAACATTTTGGATTTTGGCATTCCTTAGATGTATCAATGGAAAAAAGAGATGTATAATAATAATGTTATTACGAGGATACGTCAAAGTATAAACTCGGACAGTGCGTCGGTCGATAGTCCAGCTGTTCTGTATTCGTCCATACTTTGAGGTATCCTCATAATAACCTCATATTATCCATTGACGATTTGATGCGTCATATATTCTATTGCAGGCCATTGATGTGTGGATGTCAGTCTGTCTCGTCTTTGTGTTCGCAGCACTAGTGGAATACGCCGCTGTTAACTATATTAGTTTACAGACGAGGAAACAAAGTCGAAGGAAACAACAATCGTTTGAGATGATACATTTAATTGAAGACAAAGAAAACAACAAGGTGAGTTGCTGTGACGTCATTGTATACTACATATCGAGATGTACAAAGGACGTATGTGTGAATAGATTCAGGAAGTCTACTAGATTTCTATAATAATTCCCTACAGATTATTGTTCGGCATATTTCTAGAAACAAGTTGATACCTATAGCATTATTATCTTCAAACAATGTTCACTTTGTAAAACTAGTTAAATAATTGAGCATTAATGTAGCAAATGTTTTAAGTCGAAGCTGGTTAATACCTTAGATTCGTTTCAGTTATTGAAAGTTGGTAGTGTCCAAATGTTTTGTAGCAGTTATGTAATCAAAATGCGCCACTTGTTTTAAAAGTCGGTAAATCGTTTGGGACTTTACTCCTCAAATCTAGATGAATCAACAGTCACAAAAACTTATGTGTGTGTGTGTGTGTGTTATTTTTCGTAGGTAAACCATAAATCAGAGGACGGAAGAACAAGCAGTAAGTCAAAAGGTCCGGATAGTGCAGTGACTGACTTTCAGTTCCGTGATGTCATAGGTCACGTAAGACCCGGGCAAATTGATTATTACAGTCGAATTGCATTTCCTATCGCATTCATGGTGTTCAATATAATTTATTGGCCAACGTACTTGTGTTGAATTGATTGAGAACAACTAAATGTTTCTATAAACCGGTATGTTCTAGAGTCAACCAACTAATTCTGCTCAGTTTACTTTATATTAAATCTAATTTTTAGTAAATAGATAAACTTACCAATATTTTAGATTTGTTTTATTTTAAATAAAGGATGGGCATCTACAAAAGTGATATAGTTGAACCAATGTCCGTTCACATGAACGTTCGTCGATTTTGCCTGCATTGAATTAAATATTCTTCAGTCCCAGGTTATATTCAACATTTGAGTTATCGCTAAAGAGGTGTGTACATAATGCATACCATCAGACTAACATCGTTAAATAATAGACTGTGTAATTTTCATGAGGGTCGATTGTGACTGTATAATTACATATATTGCTTATGATAACACAGCTACACCTCTGAGTGCCTTATTTTAACAATTCATGTATGCATATCTCGTACTATAACAGGAGGTTACTGAACATGTAAATATATACAGATATATTAGGGTTATTCAACCAGCAGAAGTAGTACATGATCATGAGTTGGATTCAGAAAACGACCCACTTTCCTGAACGTGAAGGTACATGTTGTACAGTAACGGCTGGTAGTATTTTTACATGTTGGCCATCGCTTTGTGCCCACGTCATGGTTTTCAAGACAAGCACACTCTATATTTTTATTATGACGTCGAGCCATGTATACGGAGTATTCAATAACAAATGATACTGATAAGGGCAACAAATATAACTTTAGAACCAATTGACGCTGCAAACAGCCCTACATGCGTTTATGTACGTGCCATAATTTCACTGCAGTTCAATATGCTCAGTTAGGCATGTTAATCATGACTAATACATTACGTGTTTTCTATGTGTGTTTCTTAACACACTTTACATACGTATAAAAGAGAATAGAACATGTGAGTACTTCTGCTTCCTGTCATTCAGGAAATATATCACAGCACATGATCAAACTAATGTCATTTGCGAATATGAACAATTCGCCAGGTTTT